TCGGGTGCTGGCTGTCACTGACATAGCTCAGCAGCTGCTGTGAAGGAGAACGTTCCCCCTCATAGCCGCTGCGGAGCTGTGTCAGTGACAGCCAGCAGATGCGGCAGAATAGGTCGGTTACACCGGCATTTGCAGTAAAGAAGGAGGCGGGGCCCGCCTAACAGCAACCCCCGCCTCCTCCCACGATCTAAGAGAAGGTGGGGCCAGTGATGTAAGAGGAGGCGGGGCCCGGGAACGGAAGAAGAGGCAGGGGCCCGGCGGCGGCGACCACGGAGGTGACAGGTAAGAGGCGTACAGCGCAACTGAGACCTTGCAGAGCCCACCATAGAGACTCTATGGTGGGCTCTGCAAGTGGCATAACTAGCAATCACGGGACCCCATACAACATTTTGCTATGGGGCCCTGTGATTTCTAGTTACGCCCCTGTTGCCCCGTTGCATGACGGAATGAATGTCAAAGTACTGCAGAGCTGAATACCGAAAAATGGCCTGGGCATGAAGGGGGCTTAATACCCCGGTCAGCAAGTGGTTAAGATTGCACCTATGAGCAATAGAGAATTTTTTCTTCTCTTCAGCTTTTCTCTTTAATTTTTAAAGCCTAACTAAACAAACTGAAGAGAGAAGCTGATTGGTTGCCATGGGCAACTGTTCCAGTTTTGATCAATTCCCCCCAGTAGTGTGTACTGGTTTGTACTTATACTGCACTCTCTTGTTGTACTGTATGTTACACCATATTATGCTGTAACTTGTTTCACAACATTCATTATATATAATAATGGTAACTAAAAAGGAAATGATAAAACATGACTTTCCAATGACATGATCACGTTATAATGTATGGGAGATTTTAGTGATGGATGGGGAAGGTAAGCTCGGTGTTCTCCTCCTGTGAATGAGAACTAAAGCAGAGCGGTGACAGCTGACTACAGTACACACGACGCTCCCGGTAGCTCCCTCCGCCCAGTCACATCTCAGTACATCTCTCGCCAATCCGGGAGCCGCCGGTGACGTCACCTCCCCGCCTCTCGCTTGCTGACATCCACAGGTTCGGGAGCTCACGGCTGAGTGAGCTGGCCGGGGTTGCGCGCGCATTCGTTTCGGTGGTCGGTCTGTGTCACACCGGAGAGGAAAGGCAGCGGCCTGGGGAATAGACGGTAAGTGATGGCTACAGGCTTTACCATAAAGCTTTTTCCTGGTAAGAGAGGTGCGCAGGCGGCGCTGTGGCTGGTAGTGGTGCACACAGCCTCCTCTGCTGGGAGGAAAGGCCTGCATCACCGCTCTATCCCACACTGCACCGCGGCTCCTGGGCTCCTCAGTGTCACCTGGAGGAATCTCAACATGAACGGGAATCCGGGGACAGAGGCAGCTACTGGGTGTATGCCCACTGATCGTCTCCAGAGAGATTCTGAGGCGTCTGCACTGGCAGTTATTGGGTGCTTGGTGTGACCCATTGCTTGCTATGCCAGCATAGCCCTCTGATGAGCACAGGGTGAAGCCTTTGGGGAAAAAAGTTTCAGCCATTGGGTAGGACTGTGCTGCCACTAAATACATGTCTTCAGGTAAAAAAAAAGCATCACCCTTGCAGAGGGGCTACCCCTGTACTGCAAGAGCTACTGCTTGTTAAAGAAGAACTCTGTGATGTTTTAAAATTAACCCTTGCAGTAGACCTATCCCCACACTGCAAGGGTTAACTGCTAATTTTTGTCTGTTAAAAAAATTATACTCCCCTGAACTTGCAAGCCGGCTTGCTCTTAGACAGATCGTTCCAGCCTCTCTCCCCCTCCGCTGCACCTGTTTAAGGTCCTGTAAATCATCACATTCTATACACCGTGTATAGATGTGAGGATGCTGGGGAACATTTCAATGCTGCAGGGAGGGGGACAGCCTGGAGGGATTGTTGTGACAGCTGGCTAGCTCGGGGCTTCAGGTGGGTATAACTTTGTTATTTTTGAACTTAGACAAAAATGAAGCACTTAAAAGAGAACTATGGGTAAGTGTTTTTCCCCATAGTTCTCTTTAGGGTCACAGGAGGACATATACTAATCTCCCGTGACCCAAAGCTCAGTATATAGTGAGCTATTGCCCGCGATATACTGTGAGTGCTGCAGCCGGGACAGATCCCAACAATAATGTTGTGATCCACCCAGCTGGCTGAGTGACAGCTGGCTCTGCCTATCTAGAGGCTGTGCCCGCCCCCTCCACCGTTTGTTCCTCCGGTTAGCGCTGGAGGATTGGAGAGGGGAGAATCCATGTGGACTGACAGTCACCACTCTCTGCATGGAGACGATCGGGAAGTGAGTGGATCAGTGCATGTTTTTTGCTCACTTCCCGAACGACAGAGCCGACCTGTGACCGCTTCTTTGTCACAGGTCGGCTCTAACCATGAGGCTTAACCCTTGCATTGTGGGGGTAGCCGTGCTGCAAGGGTTAATCATTTTTCTTCCTTGGGACTGCAGTAAAGGACTTTACATGCTATCCGTTCCTGCTGGCTCTGAGACCAGTGCCCACAGTCTCTTCCGCCTTCCACGCTGGTGTTGGACGCCTGCTGATGTCATCATGTACAGTACAGGGCCCATAGCCCTTTAACATATGTGAGGACGCCTGGGACAGTCCATAAGACAGCGGAGCGGAGGGGGGAGAGGTGAGCGGCTACTGCTTAGTGAACTGGGATCAGGTAAGTAAAAGTCGTGTGTGTCCCCCCCCGACAAGCTTTAATTTCACCATCCCCCAATACAATTATTGTGCCTTTTACCCCTTGTCGTCTTTCTGTGCTGCAATATTATACTTACAGGCCCAGCAGATCCAGCAATGTCCTTTTCTTCATTGACTGCTCTCCACCGACTGGTCCTGTCCCGCTCTGCCATCTTCTTCTTGTACTTCATCAGGTGGCTGGTTCATGCAGCCACCTTCCTGATGACGCGGCGCATTTGCAACTGTTGTAGATTTCCCCGAAGCCTCCTGGGATGTGTGATGTGAGTAGTAATCTGTGTATTTTCCGTACAGAAGTCCTCCATGCTTTTCTGAACATTACCTACTGCTTTAGAGCTTGTGTAAATGGATGTTCATCTGCTTATAAATTCCTTACTACTACATGCAAGTGGGTATGAATGAAACCGCAGCTTGAAGCATCTCCGAAGCAACTCCCAAGCTAATCATAAGTACTGGCCACACACTTCTTCCATGTTGTCTGAGTCCTGCTGACTCGGCTGAAATTCAAGCTGTGTGTGGCTCTACTGACACCACCCAGATCGATAAAGGTTCATTATTCAATCGGCTATGACTGAGTAGGGCAGAAACGTGTCAGTGGTTGTTCTTTGCAGAGATGCACGTGGAATAAAGTTGATTCTTTTTGGAAGAGTATCGTGTGGCGGCTTTGCAGTTTCTATGATATTGACTCTGGAAGGGAGTTATCCAAGCACCCTAGGTGGAATATGAAGATGCATGGTAGGGGTGAGCTGTGCTATGTGTGTTACTTAGCCTATGATTATTCAGTTAACGTTTGGTGAAAGAGCCGGGTGGAAAATGTCAGCACCAGGGTGCAGTCACTGTTTGGGTATTCTGACAGTGGCAGACACCAGCTTTTAGAATCCAAAAGCCTGGCAGGGGAGATTCTGCCATCCATGCTCTTTAGCATGGATGGAGGAATTTAGTAGATTTCTTTTTGATTGATGAAAAAAAATCAAAAATCTAGAATTGTATTGCCAGCTATACTGTAGGTAAAAGCATGCCAGAGCAGCACAAAAGCATACTACGTTAGAAATGCGACGGAGTGTGAAGCTGTGCACACACCCCCGTAAGGTGCCAATACACCTTGCGATTATCGTTCGGAAATTGAACACGATCGGGTTTTCGTACAATAATCGGCCAATTGATGGGAAGTAAACGATCACAATTACTGTACAACCGGCCAAATTCCCTCCATCTGTCATACTGGAAAACTCTCTGTTCCAAGCGAAAATTGCAGAGTGAGTGGTCATGTGAAGTGATTCACTTCTCACACAAGTGTCAGTGGAACGCTCATCATGTTGCTTATTTTGAAGAGGCCTAAGGTGCGTTTCCTGAAGTTCAGGACCATTTTTGGCACAGACAGTACATTTCAGGGTGTTGCAGATCTTGTCCCATCAGTATGTATTGACTGTGTCACTGTTTTTTTTACCCAGTGTGGTGATGTAATGTTTTCCTAAGTGCTAAGCTTAGCAGTTACTTATTCAGCTTCCTGCTTGGTTCAAGTTGTCCTTTCCATTACTAGGCCACCCCTGTGGATTCACAAGTGACACCACACAATCAAGGGACAGACAAGCTTTGCAAACTCTTTGGTAATGTGACAGTCTTTTGTGACACAGCAGTCGTGTACATATATATAATTTCTATCCATATGCACTATATTCGTTCCTCAAAGAAACCTGTGCTGAGAAAACATTATAGGCTGCCATTGCTGATGTTTCCGACTGATCATGCTTGTTGCCTGCTGATTTTCTCTGCTGGGTAGATGCTTTAGCAGTTGGGGGAGCCAGCGTCTAGCAGAGTTTAAGTAAACTAAAACCTGGATCAGCTGATAATGTATTCTGTCAGTGTATACCTTGTGAGTTCTCACATGGAGCATTGTAGCACTGGGGCGTGGGTTGTGCCTAGTATCCAGAATGAGGAAATGTAGTCTCTCTGGGGGCTCCAGTTTGCTTTGGAGGGGCAAATTGTGACTCAGAAGCTTCATGCTGATGGTTTATGCTCTAAACTCTCTGCTCTAGTTAATAATTACCTTTTATCTTTTGTGCAGGTTTGCTTTAAGTGTAAACATACGTTCAGCTGAGTAGGTTTGAGCAGTTTGCACTAAGTGGGTTGAAGTTTGTCCCTGTTCTCCTTAATTTGCCTCTATGGAGACAGATCTACAACGGTTTCTGTACCTGTCAAATATATGGGTCAAGCCATTGATGGGTTTTGCACTTGTCAAGACCGAATTACAAGAGGCAGGCTTACCACAAAGAAGCCAGCTTTGCAGGACAGTGGTTTCATCACAGCTATGTAATGTTACTCAATACTTCATATACATAAATCAGCCATAACATTATGACCGCTGATGGGTGAAGTGAATAACATTGATTTATCTTATTACATTGGAACCTGGAAGTGGGCGGGTCATATTAGGCAGCCAGTGAATATTGTGGTGTCCCTGAAATTGAGGTGTTGGAAGCAGAAAAATTGGGCAAGCGTTAGGATTGGAGCGACTTTGACAAGGGCCAAATTGTGATGGCTAGGCAACTGGGTCAGAGCAACTCAAAGTGCAGCTGATGTGGGATGTTCCTGGTCTTCAGTGGTCAGGACCTACCAAAAGTGGTCCAAGGAAGGTGAACTGGTGAAAGGGTCATGGATGGCCAAGGCTTTATTGGTGTATGTGGGGAGCAAAGGCTGACTTGTACTGTATAGTCCAATCCGAAAGAAGACATACTATAGCTCAAACTGCTGTAGAAGTTAATGCTGGTTCTAATAGAAAAGTGTGTGCGTCAGGATGCCAATTCTGATCCGTGTCCACCACCAAAAGTACCTACAATGGGCATGTGAGCATCAGAACTGGACCACGGAGCAATAGAAAAAGGTGGCCTGGTGTGACGAATCATGTTTTCTTTTACATTATGTGGATGGCTGGGTGCGTATGTGCTCCTTACCTGGGAAAGAGAGTGCATCCTGGTGCCATATGGGAAGAAGGCGAGCCGGCGGAGGCAATGTAATGCTTTGGGCAATGTTCTGCTGAGAAACCTTGGGTCCTGCCATTCATGTAGATTTCACTTTGACACGTAGCACCTACCTAAACATTGTTCCGGACCAAGTACACCCCTTCATGGAAACCGTATTCCTGATAGCAGAAGAATAATGCGCCCTGACACATTGTAAAAATGGTTTGTGGAACACAACAAGTTTGAGGTGTTGACTTAGCTTCCAAATTCTACAGATCTCAATCCAATCAAGCATCTGTGGGATGTGGTGGAAAAACAAGTCTGACCCAAGGAGGCCCCACCTTGCAACTTACAGGACTTGAATGATCTGCTACTGATGCTTTGGTGCCAGATACCACAGCATGCATTCAGGGGTCTAGTGTGGTCCATGCCTTGACTGGTCAAGGCTATTTTGGTGGCAAAAGGGTGGCCTACTCAATATTAGG